TCAGATCTGTTGTGACTTCGCCTTTTTCATTCCTAATTGCATGGATCTGAGCCTTTTCTTTCCTTTTTTTGATAAGATTAGCTAAGGGTTTGTCAATTTTATTTATTCTTTCAAAAAACCAGCTCTTTGTTTCATTTATTAAGATGAGACTCTTTGGATTAGCAGTCACCAGCCTATCAGCCCTTTGCATGTGCTGCTCACCCCATGCCTGGTGCTGTCCTGAGTGCTTTTCTTTCTTTCTTTCTTTCTTTCTTTCTTTCTTTCTTTCTTTCTTTCTTTCTTTCTTTCTTTCTTTCTTTCTTTCTTTCTTTCTTTCTTTTTTTTTTTTTTTCATTCTTTCTTTCTTTCTTTCTTTCTTTCTTTTTTTTTTTGCAGTACCAGGGATGGAATTCAGGGCCATTGCACTGAGCTACATCCCCAGTCTTCAAAACAAAATTAAGAAAAATATTTTGAGATGACATCTTGCTGTGTCACTAAGTTGCCCAGACTGGGCCCAGACTAGTAATCTTCCTGCCTCAGCCTTCCAGAGTTCTGGGATTCCAGATGTGCAGCCTGACTGTTCCCGCATTCTCTTTGGGCCCGCCTACTAACTCTTTCAATCTTTATTGCAGCCTTGGGGGTCAGCCTTGGGACGTGATCCCCATTTCACAGATGAGGAGCTGCAGCAAAGAGCAAGCGCGCGAGAGCACAGTCATCTCAGGCTGCCGTGTCCGCCCTTGCCGGTGTGGGACTCTGACCTGTGCTTGCCTCCTTCCTCCAGGGACGGGGGCAGACCCGGCTGTCAGTGCCAAGAGCAACCATTGCCTGGATGCCGCCAAGGCCTGCAACCTGAACGACAACTGCAAGAAGCTGCGCTCCTCCTACATCTCCATCTGCAACCGCGAGATCTCATCCACCGAGCGCTGCAACCGCCGCAAGTGCCACAAGGCCCTGCGCCAGTTCTTTGACCGCGTGCCCAGCGAATACACCTACCGCATGCTCTTCTGCTCCTGCCAAGATCAGGCATGTGCTGAGCGCCGCCGGCAGACTATCCTGCCCAGCTGTTCCTATGAGGACAAGGAGAAGCCCAACTGTCTGGACCTCCGCAGCCTGTGCCGAACTGATCACCTGTGCCGGTAAGAGCATGCATCTTGGGTTGTTGGCTTCAGGGTGCTTGTGGTGGGGCTGGTGTTGTCTCTCTTCCACACCCACTGGGCCATCCCAATGGGTTATGACTCAGCCCAGCAGAAGGTGTCAGACAGGTTCCATCACTTGGATATGTGCAAAATCAGTTGTCCATTCCATCCACCCATCCATCCATCCATCCGTCCATCAATCCACCCACTCATCCATCCACCCATCCACCCACCCACCCACC